AAGTAATGCTCTTGCTAAATCCACAGCATCGTGGAAAAAAAATATGAAAAATAGCTCCTGTCTATGCTCAGTTATTTTGGGTTAGTGGTTCAATTTTCACTTCCCCCACCCATTAACAATAATGACTGTTCTCTAAAGACGCACTGCCTTCGGTGGCCAGACTGCAGCAGTCGGAGAAGATCCCAGGGTGTTTGGGGTCCTGTTGTGCCTGGTGCTAAATGCCCTGTTAAAGAGAGGCATCAGTTATCCCCATGGAGCTCGCAGCGATGCTCTTCACCTGAGCTGAGGGCTAAGCAAGCAGCAGTATTTAGACAGCATTGAATTTTCCTCCCTCTTCCAAATTTCAGTATCTTTCTAATTTTCTGCAACCATGAGCACAGTGAAAGGCTTCTGGTGTAGGATTTAAATAGACTCTAGGTGGGAGGCGAGAAATATTCTCTTAATGTACAGATGAGAAACTGAGGCACGGAGAGATTGAAGGATTCACTCCACAACTGAGTTACACCCGGAGTCTGACTAAGATGGGGACAGGAATAGGGACTGTGTGCTCCAGAGTTAGAACACTGAATTCATCCTGGGAAATAAAAATTCAGTTCCCATCCTTCCTGCTGACTGCCTGGGTGACATCGGCAGAGAATTTGTCTTACCCCAGCTGTTACCCCACAGGGATAACCCTCATCAGATGCTTTTGTGGCTTGATGAGGAGATGAGATGAGCTGCCTGATTTCTGGGAATGGGGTCGGTGACCCCATTTCAGTGTATGTTGGGGTAACACCATGGCTCTCCTGGAAGGGTGTGATCCTCGGGGACTGCGGGGCTGCTCCCACCTCCTGTCGCCCCAAGGGAGAAGGTGAGGATGGTGGGACTGGTCATTCTGGAGGTGGAGGCTGTGTTTTACAATTTATTCCCCAATTGCCGAACAAATAATCACAATTAAATCGGGGATAATGTGGTGGGGAAGAAACAGCCGAAGGTTACAGGGAAGGCAAGTAGCTGAACCTGGCTGAAGCAAGCCAAGCAGAGCAGGGTTAGAGCATTCACCTGTTGTAGCTGTATAATGTATGTTTTAGCTCTATAATGTATGGATTGCTCCAAGTTAGTCTTGAGAAGTTGGGTTGATGCTGAACTGCCTGTCTGATGCCAACAGTCCTCTGCAGTCCTGTCTGCAAAGGTTTCAGGCAGTGATTAGTGACCCGAGTGACAACCTTGAGCCTTTATCTGTGACACTTGTCCACGTTATGAGCAGCAGAGGCAGAGCTCATGTTTCCGAGACGACACAAGAAACCTCGCCCGTGGGTTAATACTGCACTGCCTTGATGTAGCAGTTGGGGCTTTGTGCATTCCCCACTGTGGGAGGAGAGACAATACATTTACAGTGCATTAAGGTATTATTGTAACAGCGTTTGTGCTGAAAGGTTTCTGATCCTCCGAAATAAAGAACAGCAGATTTGTCCCAGATTTATCAATGGAGGCAGGGTTCCCATTCAAACGCGAGGGAGGGGAGAGTGGGTGAGATCCCGCTCGCTGCAGCAGCCGGGCTGGGTGCCGACCCGCTCTGCCCAGCTGCCTGCTGCTAACGGGGACAAGGAGGGGTTTGGAGGGAGAAGGACAACCCCGAAAGGCTGCTTGAGAGGCGATGGGGTTCAACAAGAAGGAGGCAAGATTTCAAGGTGGAAGCAGCGTGCTAAAGCAGCCCCATGCCTGGGAATAGCTGAGGGTTGAGGAGAAGGTCCTGAGATGTTTTGTGCAGCTCACCTCCCCCTGGGGAGGGATGCTGGGGGGGTTCCCCTCGTGGTCCAGGTCTGGCTGTGGGAAGAGGGAAGCTCTATCCCCTCTGCTTGGAAATCCACCCGGAACAGGCCATTAAGGAGGAGAAGAGTGATGCTTGCTCTGCTTCTTTGTAGAAACTGCATCTGATGTTATAGTTCAGCCTGTAGATCATTGCACAGGGGGATTTCTTAAATGGCCGTTAGGAATAAAATTAAATTTGTCAAGACCAGATGCAGCAGAAGAGCTGGGTGGAAAAACAGGGAAACTTGCAGAGGGAGGACTGGGATAGCCTGCATTAGACAGAAAAGCCAGAGCCTTGAGGAGCAGGTTTGATGCTGCACCTCGCACAGCGAGCTCCCAGCTCGCAGGAAAGCGCTGCTGGGGTTGGCCATCGCAGAGATGCCCCTTCCCCTGGGCTTTCACTCCCCTGCCTCTGCCCTTTTGCTCAGACCTCCTGGGTTTGGGATGTGACCTAGGCCACCTCCGTTGCTACTCACCAAATCTGGAGCTCGGTGCAGTGCCTGTATGCAAACCCCTCCGGGGAACTCGTGTGGGGCTGGCGGTGGCTGATGCCGAGCAGGAGGTGATGCTATTGCTGTATCCCCGCTGCTGAACCAAATCTTGGCTGGGGACCCCCCGAGAAGGAAGGAGCTGAGGGGGCTTCGCTGGGGAGGAGATGTTCTGCCCATCCAACCACCCTCTGCCTGCAGCGATGCTGCTCGCCTGGCACAGCTTAATTGGCTTTGATAGGATTATGTGGAAGGAGCGGAGGAGTAAACAGGGCCAGGAGGCCACGCAGTGCCTGGAGGAGAAATCCTTTGAGCCAGCGTGATGCAGGACCAAAGCTGCCCAGAGCTCAAGGGTTAATGTCTGCTGCTCTTTTGCAGCTGATGGGGGTAAGGGCTTAATCCTCCTCCTGGTTTTAAGGGAAAGGCTTTTCCTAGCAGCATCCCAAAGGTCTGTGGCGCTCTCAATAATTTCCGAAGAGTTTGCCCCTGACTGAGATCCAGGGTAAACTGTTGCAATTATGGAAGTTACGCCTTGTTGCCTCAAGCCTTTTGTCATCAATAAATGTTTATGGTTTAAAGCAGCCTTGTTTGTTTGCCTTAGACCAGATGACAGTGATTTATTGGCAGAAATCCTAGCAGAGGAAGGAGATGAGCCAGAGAAGTATTTAACTGCTACACACATGTATGTAGCGAGATGATGGTTATTTCACAATCATGAAACCTGCGGAAAATAGAGACTCAAACTTGTATGTGAACTGTTGTTTCCAGGAATTTTTCTCAACCTACAAAAGCAACATGGGCAGCTCAAGGGTTAATGATGCTCCGGGGCTTTGCTGACTGCTTTATCTGGGGTTTGGGATGTCTGGGAGGTGCTGTGTGTTGGAAAGAAGGAGTGGGTGCTCTTGCTGGGAGAATGTTGCTGATTAGCGCTATTAATTGCTGTAGGAATGATGGGGGAGTGAGACTGGGGACCTGTTGCCCCAACTCCCTCATCCCAGGAGATCTGCAGCCTCAAGCAAAACGGGACTCAAAAGTGGGGCTTAAAGTCGAGGATGGCAATGGCAACAAGGGACGTGTGTCCAAGTCTGGAGCAAGGTGACATTGCTTGGAGGTGAGTGTCCCTGTTTGTGATCGTGGGTGAATGTCTTCCAGCAGCCACACCAAGCTGCTGCCTTGGTGCTGGTGTGAAAACCCAGCGTTGGCCACACCAGCACTGGGAGGTCGGTGGAGACGGAGGCAGAGCTCACCCAAAGCCTGTGTTGGGTTCGGTCCCATAGCCAGCTCCACTCTTTCATCCACAGGACCTCTCTGAGGCTCATTGCCTGAGGAAACCTCCCTGATTTCTAGTGGCAGAGGGTTTTTTCCCCTATATCAGCACAGAGGAGGGTGGGCTCAGCTCACTCAGACCTGATCCACGCTGTTAATTTGCCATTTACAGTCCTGAGTCAGCTGTATGGCAATATTTATTGTTGTTTTCCCCGCCTTGGTTTGTATATTTTGTACAGCTTGTTTCTAATTTAAAGTATAAATAAGTTTGATCTTTTCATCTGTTTTTCTCTCTACCTTCTGGAGGCTGTGCTGGTTAAAAATAACCACAGTGATGAGCTAAAGTGGGGCTGGTGGAGGGGTTTTAACCTCCGTCATGGCAGGACCACCCGGCCGGCGTGGGAATGGCAGCATGGTCGCCCTTCTCACCTCTCCCCGACCCTCATGGTCGGGCTCTTACCCAAGCTGGGAACTGCCTGAATTGCCTAAACCCCGCTTGGCACATTGTTGGGCATTAAAGCACTTCTGCTGTCAGGGGGGTTTGAGAAAATGGGGACCCATCGAGGGGGTTGGGGGCACAGCTGGGTGCAGAGATCAGAGGTTGTCCCTGATGCACATCTCCTGGGGACGGAGCGTTTTCTGGCGTCGGGCTCCTGCAGAGGAGGCTTTCACCTTAAAAAAATCCCTTCTGACCAAAATTGAACTATTTGCATAAGAAGATCAATTGAAGGCAGAAAGAAAAAAAAAAAAAATTCAAAGCCTTTTGGCTTTCTTGCAGGAAAGTCTGAAATGCAGATTTGGGTTCAGACTGGAACTGCCTTGGTCGAGGGCTGGCTTGGATTCACCTCTCTGTTTATTTTGCTGGGGGGATGCACACGCACACACACGCGTGTGCAAACACACACATGTACATGCACGTGTGCACACAGACACAGCACACACACACACACACACACACACACACACTCGCCTATCCTGAAAAAAAATCCCCAGCACTAGCTGAGACGCTGATTCAAAACAACTGTTGGCAGCTCCGGCCGCCGCTGTCTGCTTTCCATTACCCACAGCCCTGCTGTGGCTTGAAACGGTGACTTGAAACAAACAGGCAAGCCCCCAAATTAATAATAAAAATTACATTTCACCTTCTCGGGGGAAGGACAGAAAAACTCTTTCTAGGCAGCGGTTCTGCCAGGAAAAAACTCTCCCTGCTTGCAACCCGCTGAGCATCAAAGGATGATCCCCGGGAGGGGACCAAAGCCCCTCGGCGTGTCGCTGGGTGGGGGTACGGGTCGGGGCCCCCCCGGGCAGGGGTAGAGGAGGGGATGCCCGCAGCTTGGTGGGGGCTGCGGGGCAGGGCTGGGGGTGCTGGTGGGTGTCTCCGGGAGCGGTGACTGAGCGAGGCGGTGCCAGAGCTGGGGGCGGATTTTTTGAGAAGAGCCTCAGCTCTTCAGAGCAGCGGCAGCCGCTGGAGGAGTTGGGCGGCTGTTTCTCCCTCTCCGCCCGGAGGAGGAGGAAGAGGAGGAAGAAGAGGCTTCGGCTGCCGCCTCTCTGGTCCTCCCCCCCCTCTTCCCCTTCCGCCCCACACCTTTATGGACGAGCGCCGGAGCTTGCTCTACTCTCCGGCTGCCTCCTCCGCCGGCCGGCATCCGCGGGGCGGCTCGACCAGCAGCCACCACAACCTGGGCTACACCGAGCAGCTGCCCCCCGCCGCCCCCCAGCCGGTCCCCGACCAAGAGGAGGAAGAGGGTGAAGAAGGGGAGGAAGGCAGCATGACTGTGGTGGGGGGCGGCGGCGGCGGCGGAGACCCTTTGCTGGACGAGCCACAGCATCCTCATCCTTTGCTCGGGGGGGACCGCTACGATCACCCCCCGACTCCGGCCGCCGTCCCCGCCGGCCAGCCCACGGGCGGTGGGGAGCACGAGTGCTGCGAGCGGGTGGTGATCAACATCTCGGGGCTGCGGTTTGAGACCCAGCTGAAGACGCTGGCGCAGTTCCCCGAGACGCTGCTGGGGGACCCGCGTAAGAGGATGCGCTACTTCGACCCCCTCCGCAACGAGTATTTTTTTGACCGCAACCGGCCCAGCTTCGACGCCATCCTCTACTACTACCAGTCCGGCGGGCGCATCCGCAGACCCGTCAACGTCCCCATCGATATCTTCTCCGAGGAGATACGCTTCTACCAGCTGGGGGAGGAGGCCATGGAGAAGTTTCGGGAGGATGAGGGTTTCATTCGGGAGGAGCAGCGGCCTCTTCCCGACAAGGAGTTTCAGCGTCAAGTGTGGCTCCTCTTTGAGTACCCTGAGAGCTCTGGGCCGGCCCGAGGCATTGCCATCGTCTCCGTCCTGGTCATCCTTATCTCTATCGTCATCTTCTGTCTGGAGACCCTGCCTGAATTCAGGGATGACCACGACTATGAGGGAACTGGGGGGACCTTCAGCACAGGCAGTGGCCCTCTCCCACCTGATGTCTTCACCAACTCCTCTTCCTCAGCTGCTTCCATGGTGTCATCTTTCACTGACCCTTTCTTTGTGGTGGAGACTTTGTGCATCATCTGGTTCTCCTTTGAGCTGCTGGTCCGCTTCTTTGCCTGCCCCAGCAAGGCCACCTTCTCCAAGAACATCATGAACATCATTGACATTGTGGCCATCATTCCCTACTTCATCACGCTGGGCACGGAGCTGGCTGAGAGGCAAGGCAACGGCCAGCAAGCCATGTCCTTAGCCATCCTCAGAGTCATCCGGCTGGTCAGGGTCTTCCGCATCTTCAAGCTCTCCCGGCACTCCAAGGGGCTGCAGATCCTGGGGCAGACCCTCAAGGCCAGCATGCGGGAGCTGGGCTTGCTCATCTTCTTCCTCTTCATCGGCGTCATCCTCTTCTCAAGCGCCGTTTACTTCGCAGAAGCCGATGACCCCAGTTCGGGCTTCAGTAGCATCCCCGATGCCTTCTGGTGGGCAGTGGTGACCATGACCACAGTGGGCTATGGGGACATGCACCCCATCACCATCGGGGGCAAGATTGTGGGGTCTCTCTGTGCCATCGCGGGGGTGCTAACCATCGCTCTCCCCGTGCCTGTGATAGTCTCCAATTTCAACTATTTTTACCACCGGGAGACGGAAGGTGAGGAGCAAGCCCAATACATGCACGTCGGGAGCTGCCAACACCTCTCGTCCAGCGAGGAGATGAGGAAGGCTCGCAGCAATTCCACCCTCAGCAAGTCCGAGTACATGGTGATCGAGGAAGGGGGAATCAACCACAGTGCATTCAAACAGGCTGCCTTTAAGACAGGCAACTGCACATCCACAAACAATCCCAACTGTGTGAACATCAAAAAGATCTTTACGGATGTTTAAAAAAGCAAAACCAAACAAACGGCAACAAAATCTGAGGATGCGGTAAAAAAATAACAATAACAATAATAATGCAAAGTGACTGTGTACTCAGTATTGTGTGGAACATGCACCATCGTCGGTCTGTGTGTGCCCTCGTTTTTATACATTTATTTTTTTAGATCCTTCCTTTCTAAAGATCAAAAAAAAAAAGGATTTAGAATTCTCTGAAGAGGAGGACAGCTAAAGGGTAAAGAGAAGGAAGATGAAGACAAAACACACTCACCGTTGAAACAGGTGTTTGTTCTGCAACGTGTTGCAGGGCTGCTTTTGTTTTCTTGTTTTTGGGGACCTCTCGCTTTGCTCCTGAATTCACCCCCCCTCTCCCCCCCTTCCCTAAAGGCAGTGTGTACCTGATTTCCCTTCCATCACATAAGATCACTTGTTGGATTAACAACCCCGAGGAAAACATGTTGCAGAGCGTACTGAAAGGGGGTTGGGAGGAAAGAACCGTTTAATTTTGCAGAGAGTCTCTGTTACCACATTGTTAAATGATGCTTAATATTGAAACATGTGTTGTGCCATTACGGGCACATCACAGATTTCCTTTTCTCCCCCGTTAGATCATTTATGAAATTCTAATTTGGTCAGAGACTGTGTGAAATCAGTGCTGATTTAAATAGAAAAAAACCCAACCCAATCAACCCTCGTTTTCTATTCTTGATTTTCTTCCCCTATAACCTTATGGCGTTATTTTATCCAATGTGACATTTGTGGCCGTGCAGTGGGTCTGTGTGCAGGGAGGTGGGAGGCGAAGGGCAAAATGGAGTGGTTTCAGGAGCCACAGGAGCACAGGGAGCGATGCCGGCGTGGACGGGGGGGATTGCAGGATCCGTGACGGGCTCCTTGCCGTGGCTGTGCCGCCTCAAACCCACCCAGCTGGAGACAAAGGGATATTTCCTCCTATTTTTTTTTTTTTTTGCAATGCGTTTGGGAGAGATGCAGCCGCTTATCGCAAGAAGATTAAAGTGGCGAACACGCCTTCCAGCGGAAGTCACTAATTCAGACCAGAGTGATGCAGTTGCCATGGTGACCCTGGTTTCCTGGGAAACCCCCAAAGGTTGTCATGGCATCCCTTCTCCCATCCCCCTTGGTCCTCGCTCTTCCCGCAAAAAAACCTTTCCAGATGGTTCCAGCCCTGTCATCCCGCAGGACACCGCGGCTCTGCCCCACTGTGCGACCCCATCCTGGCACCCCCTTCCCGGGCCACGTCCCCCCCCCCACGGCTTCCCCTGTGCCGAGTAAAGCACCCGTAGGCAATAAGCACACCACAAATCCACCTCTCCCTCGCAGAGGAGCTCACACCTTGGCAGTGAAATTTGGGGATGGAGTCTCATCCTGCAAACACGAGCGGCCGCTCCGCCGAGAACGACCCTGCGCTCCCCCCCTGCGCCGCACGAAACCCGGCGGTTTCCCCAAGCCCAGTGCGAACTGGCGCTGAGCAGCAAGTGGGAAAGCTCGGCTGAGAAACCTCGGCAGCTTTTGGAAACCAGAGGGACACATCTATAAAGAGCGGGATTGAAAAGTAACCAAAACCCCGCCGGGGAAAAATACACCGGCTTCATCTTTATGTGTGCACCAGGGGCCACGGGACATCTGATGGGATCAGGTGAGCCTTGCACGGGGTAGAGCTCAATAGCATCATAAAGTAATGTTGCTTTTTGGGGACAAACCTCGTGTTTTCCACTGCTTAGTTTTATTTTTCTTTATTTTTACCCTGCTGCTCTTGGGTATTTTTCTGCACGTTAGGTAAAGTGGGATAACATCCTAGAACTCCTCTGATAATATTTGCGTTTCACTTTAGTTTTAGTGCTATGCATAGGAGGAAAACCCTGCTGCTTTTTCGTAGCTGGGTTTCTTCAATTTGGTGCTAAAACGGTTATTTGCAGCGGTTTAATGCTTTCGTCTGACCCCTGCTATTGGAGCAGGCTGAAGGCAGGGCCTGGCTGCTCAGCCTCGAGCGCCTTGGCTCCAGTTCTGCTCTCTTTTGCTGGATTTTGGGTTAAATAACCCCAGATTCCTTCGAGGTAGTGTACTGCACAGCGATGCTGTTAAATACCTCTCATGACAAAGAGACGTTTGACCCAACCTGTGTGAGTCACACCTTTCCCAACTGTGTGGAAAGGGGGATTTGTCCTGAGAGATGCCAGCCCTGCCAAAATCGGAGTTTAGCTAGAATTGTACCTGGAGTTCAAAGGATCGGGACAGTTTGTAACACTCTCCCTTAGCCTTGCCTTAGCCCCGGGTAATAAAACCCTTATAATAAGAAAAACAGCAAAGCGTCTTCTTGGCTAACGGTATGTGACAGCTTTATTGGAGCTACCGTAGTTTTCACCAGCTGAGGATCTAACAGAGGATCTTTCTTAGGGAGATGCTCTGGACCATCGTGGGAGGTAACAGACCTGCGATCCCTTGTCTGAGATAACTGGGATCCCTTGTCTGGTATAACTGGGAACCCCCCAGCCTGCCTTTTCCTCAGGCTGCCAGCGGGCTGAAATGTCATTTCTGCCTATGAGCTCTCACTTTTTATTGTTACTAAAGCTTTTCCACATGCCTATTCCTAAAATGAGGATTTGAGTTTAAAAGCAAGGGAAGCAGTCCCACTCAGGGGAGTTTGCAGATGAGTTTTGTGTCTGCGTTTTCCCCGTGGCAGCTGCACAGGGTACGAAAACCACATGTTCTCCTGGAAATGGCACAATACAATTTTCGGTTTCTCTGCCATGTAAAATAAGCAGAAACCTTGCAAGTTGTTAGTTTGCTTTCCTGACTACTCCTTGCCTTGTTTTATAGGGGCAGAATAGTTTCAAATGTATTTTATTGACAGCAAAAGATGCTGTATGGGAGAGGTGGCAAGGAAACCACTTCATCCACCGGAGTAAAAGGCAGTTTTGCCCCAGTACCGAATGGTATCCCTGAAAAATAGAAAAGCATTGCTGCTCTGTCTTTAAGATACACCCAAAAAATTGTAAGTGGAAAAACGGAGATACCCTTTCAATGCTCTGCCCCATTCCTGTCTGCCTCTTCCCTCTGTGCTGTCTCGTTAGGCACAGTTCAGCAAGAGAAATACTTTCTGTTACTGCACGGTCTGACAGCTTCTCTTAAGCTGGTTGCTGTGAGCGTTGTGCCAGGAATCGGAGAGAACGCTGAAAGATCGCTCTCTTTGCAGCCAGCTGCTTATTTACCTAACTTTGCTGTCTTGCCATGTGCCCTCTATTTGGACATCGGACTGTTTTAACAGTCGCTGGGGAGTTAAAGATGAGCCTCAGCCTTCGCAGCGTGTTGGACTCGACTGTTCCTAATGTGCTTAGAGGGGGCAGCATTAGGAGATCGGTACTAAGGGAGCTGCCTGCCTGCTGTCTGGCAGCCTGCTGCCGAGCCTTCCCAAAGCAAGGCGAAGGGCTTGCTTAGTCTCAGCTTATTACGTTAAGTGGAGGAAAGTGCATTACTGAAAGCTGCTGGCTGACATTTAAGATCTCACAGAAAGCAAGCAGGGGAAAAGCTCTGTCCCCAGGTAGTCCCCGGCACGGACTCCCCAGCTTGTCTGCATGTGTGGTGTGGCAGGGATGCTCTCCGGAATGTCCTCCTCCTCCTCGCTCGTCCTTCAGACCTGTCATCTGAGAGATGAAGTGACACTGCTGGCACCGAAGGATGGGAGCAAGGACGGGAGCAGGCAGCTCCTGCCCCAGGGACACAGCCCTGCGAGGCCATAGCTGCCTCCCCAGATGCTTTATGTATTCAATTTATATAGGGCCACTAGGTGATATAGAACCTTGTACAGCCTCCTACCTCCTTTCCCAGGCTCCTTTCCCTTTCCCTCTGCTTGTATTGTAGGACCTGTTCACTTCCCCTGTTTCAGCTCTAGATGCAACCTCAAAGCACATCTTTGGTACAGGGGGATGCAGAGGACACGCAGCAGCCCTGGCCCTGGCCCCTCCTCTCGGTGCTTTGACACCATCACCTTTTTCTCCTGTGTATTTGCCCTTTTTGTATGTGTTTTCAGGCCTGAACTCTTGTAGAAAGGTTCTGTTGTTCTCCAGCACAATAGATGCCCTTCAGGTGCTTGGGGTGGCCAGAGGTGCAGAGCAGTATCCATCCCACCCCACATGTGGACACAAACAAGGGCTGGAGATATCTCTTTCCTCTAGGAGGGTTAAATTTCTTTCCAGGCAATTGTTCCTACTCCATCACTTGACAAAAGAAGTTGTTGGGTTTTTTTTAATCCTGAGTTTATGGACAGTTAAGTGGAGGCAAGGGGCAGACAAATGACTTCCCCAGCAGAAGGGAAGGAGCCATCCAGAGCTCATCGGTGGCAAAGGGGTCTCTCCTGGCAGAGCTGTAGCGCAGGGAGAGGGTCTCTTGCAGTGGTTGGTGTGTACAGAGAGAGTTCCGCGTGAAATCTATTTAAATGTGTAGTTTGGAGCCCTCTTCCTGCCAAGCTTTTAAAATATGCATATCTTGTTGAGAGGCTCCTGTCGCAACCTGATAGAAGGCAGGGCCTTTTATTTCCATTTTTAAATGCTTTAATAAGTGATCTCTGGGTAGGCTGAAAACCTGTGAGTGCGAACAGATAAATAGGATTTAAATGCAATTCCTTTTGCCCTTCGGTCTCAGTTGTCTTATGGACTGGGCAGGAGAGCTCAGAGTACCAGCATCCTCCTGCGAAAGCAGTCCTACAGGCAATGGGCACGGGGAAATAGGGATGTTCTGGACATGATAGGATGCTGTGGGCAGGGAAATTCCTATAAATTGTCTCCTTTACTGCTACGGAGCAGGTACTGCTCTTCTGCACCCTTCCCTGCTGTGGGTCCACATCCCTAATCTGAACGGGGTGCTTGGCTCGACTTTGGGGGGTGTTGTATAGCTGGAGGATGTGTTAAGGACGGGATGCTGCTGCCTTTCCCCGTTTCCCTGAGTGCTGTTTCCATGGCAGAGGCTGCACTAACGCAGCACCCACTGGGTGCTGAGCTGTGGATGCTGGGTGGGGTGAGCCCCCTCCCAGGGCTGGTGGTGGGAGTCAGGGGTTGAGCACGGAGGGCAGGGGCGATGCACTTCTCGGCGGGAGGGTTCCCTTAGAAACAGCTGCGGGACCGTGGCCGTCACTGCTTTGACGGGGACATTTCAGGGGTGTTTTGGGGTGGGTGCCCCGAGGTGCCTCATCCCGGCTGGGAATCGCTTCTCTGGCAGTGGGAGGGTTTTGGCTTCGTTTTGGGGGTGGTGATACAGGGTTTTCTTAGGGCAGAAATAGGACTGGTGTGAGGAGGGGGGTAGAGCCCTTCTGTAGGGCAGAGCCATCTCGTGGCGGGGGGGCACGTTCGCTGCCGGGGGGGGAGCTCTGCAGAGCAGCCCCAGCCCTGTCACCACAGCATCTGGCTCTTGCCCCAGCTGAAGCTCTCCCAGCTCTGCTGTGGTTGAGTCCAGGACACAATCGAGACCTTTTGCTCCCAGACTTGGCTTCTCAAACAGGAAAATGAGTAACGGTGTCTCTGTCAGAGCAATCTTCATCCCACCTGATGGGACATGTGTTTGCTGCTTTGAGCTGAGAAGGTGTTAGGGCTCCTGATTTTTGTCACCAGCAAAACCGAATCCCATTTTTTGCTCATGAGAACCGTCCTCTGTGCGAGAGAGGGATGTGTGTGGGGTCCCATGCTGCCCTTGTATCTAGAGCCCTTTTATCCCCAATACTGGCAAAACTTAGCCAAAAATGCTCAGAGAAAATCCCCTGTGAGCCCCCATATGCTTTTTTTCCCATCAATAAGGTGCTGCTTTATGAGACCCCCGAGTTTTAGGGTCCATCTGTGTCTCATCACTGCCCAGAGCCTGAATTTTCAGCACTGAGGATGCTCTGCAGCAGGGCAGGGAAACCTTCACACATGAACTTCCCCACAGGGCACCGTCAGTTTTCTCCTTCTTATGAACCAGGACATGCTCAAATAAATTAAAACCTGTCTCCTATCTCATTCAGCTTGTCACTCAAGTTAGGAGTAGCTAAAATACTTCCCGACTGCTGGTCTTCCCCGACTCATAACGGGAATAGCCTTCACCTAACTGCGCCGCACATTAATATTAAGACCCGTGGCTCAGCCATGCATACAGCATCACACGCTGCTGGGTTTGTTTAAGAATGATTCATTTCCTTAAGACTTGTAATTCAGACGCTTTTCTGAGCATGTTTAAGCTCTGACATGTCTGTTGCTTTTCTACAGTTGCTGCACTTCATTTTTAGTGTCTTTAACACATAATGGGTGGGAAGTCCGGGTTTGAATGCGTGGCTCGCACGGTTAGATCAGCGAGCGGCTGTCTCTGCTCTCGCTGGCAAGGATGCAGAGTGCAATCTGTTTTATTTTGATGCTGACCACTACCAGCTGCTTTGCTTTGCTTCTTGTGAAGCACCATCATGGATAGATAGGGAAAATCCTTTGGGGTTGTGTCACGGTTCGATCGGCGGTGGAAGCGCCGAGGGCTCAGCCCCTGTGGGGCGGTGGGGCTGCTGGCAGCAGGGTCCAGGCTTGGGGTCTTGGTCTCATGGGAAGCTAAATATTGCAACAGACCATGGACAGGATGAACACACACTTTGCAAAGTGGGTTTTGCATTTGCAGAGAGATGTGCTTGCCGTTCAGCCTGGTTGCAATAAAGGATCTGAGTGCAACATAGGGCTGTGGGTGATGCTGTGCTGCTCGGGGGGGTTTTGGGTGTTAGTCCATGAAAATGTGTGTCCCTGCACCCCAGACCTGGAGGGTGGGAGCACTGTGGTGTTTGCTGGGTGTTCACTGTTGTCCTGCTGGGTGGCTTTGGGCAGGTCACCTCCTCCGGGCCTCAGTTTCCCCATCTGTAAATAACACCGAGCAGTTTCATTCAGTGTTTGCAATGAAACACACTGTGGAAGGAAGAGGCAGTTTTGAAACTCAGAGCAAGAAGTAAGGAATCCTCCAAAGGCTTTATGGAGTTCAGCTTTCTTGAAGCTTGCAGAGCCTGCAGATCCTCCTCCCGATACTCCATCAGTTGCAGTTATTTGCCCCAGACGGGGGGAACCCCAGGGTTTCCCCCAGCTTCCCCAGGACACCAGCTCTGCCCTACACCTCCCCTTCCCATAACCATCTTCCTCTCCTGCGATTTCTTCACTCTGCATCTTTGCACTTGCTTTTCCATCCTTATGGCCCATTTCTCCTGAAATCTCAGTGCATTTATAGTCAAAAAACCTCCTCTCCCTCCTCACTGGTCTCTGCGTGGAGCTGCCACCATGACTCTGTAACAATTCAACCCTCAAGCTGTTGCAGCAGGTCAAAAGTGAGACATAAGAAGTTTGGGCTTAAAATGAACCTGTCTGCTGCATATTGGAGCTTGCAGGAGGGATGTGAAGGGAGTTTGCTGTGAGCTGGGTGTAGCATTGCAGGCTAGAGGGGTTTTCTACCTCTGTGTGTGCATCAGTGGATGCTGGCATCCATCGCCTGTGCTTCACCCTTCAGGTGCCTGAACGATACCCTGCACTTCAGAAACCTCTGAATTAAAGGAGAAAATCTTCTTTCTGCAGCATCTGAAACAAGACTGGGCTATTCTCTCCTGGGGCTGGTAACCTTTCAGCAAGGTCTCTCCCGTCCTGGTTCCAAAATGCTCTGAGAAAGCAAAGCAAGCACAACCTGGGTTCAGCTGGTTTTCTGACTGGTGGTATCTCCTGGAATTTGGCTTTATTGCTGCGTTTCCTTAACCAACTTGCATGCAGCTCCCTTAGAGGAGAGCATTACACAAGCACTTACCTTTATCAGTCAAACATGGAGCTCTGTAAGAAGAGGTATCAAGTTAATATGATAAGATCTGTTTTCCCTAACCCTGTGTTGATTGGCATCAATTATATCTTCCTCTTTAATTCTGTATTAAGACTCTTAGCCGTTCCAGCATATTGTTTAGGATCAGTGACAGATGGCCAGACCCGTAATTTTGCAGGTCACTTTGTTTATCCCTTAAAAAAATGACCCAGTAGGAGCTGTTTTCCAGTCCTCTGGATTTTCACCAGGTCCGGGGCTCAAGAGATCCTCAATACTTGCAGTCTCACGAGCTGCTTTGCCAGCTCTGAATGCTTGTTATAATATACAAGTTATTTTCCTCAGCCAGTTTTAAACAGCTCATTTTTGTGGCTGCTGATTACTATTCTCTGTTTCTTTTGGAGTGGAGAGGATTTCATCACCCCTGTGTGATGGGAAGACATATGGATCCCTTCAGGAGCTGGAGCAGGAGTATCTCCTGAATGCTTCTGACTCCTCACTGCCACTGCTGTTCTTGCTGAATTTGGTGAAATAACATCATCATTAGGCTGAGGATTTGGGTTTTTTTTTCTACAAAGTCAAGGATACAGCCTGTAAAGGCAGCAGGGTACCCCAAAGCACTGGATTATTTGCCCAGTTTGTATAAATTGTTATTTACCACTTAATCTGCAGGACCCCAGCTCTGCCCTCCCCTTCTTGGCCAAACCGACGGTATTTCCTGAGCCGTGCCAGGCTGGAGGTGCTGTTTGGGTTTTATTTGTGTAATAACCCAGTGATGCTTGAGGATCCCAGCAGTTTGACCATTGCTTTGCAAAAAAGAAGGAGCCCTTTCCTGCTGGCAGGTGGGAGGGGGGTATAATCCCCCCCAGCAAGCCCAGTCCAATAATGCATAAACCCCAGTTAACTTTAAGCCCATGAATAGTCCTTCTGGCACCCCAAGATAAGCCGGTGCTTGAATAACCAGCTGCTTTGAGACCCTTGCAAGGAGCACTAAGCCCCTCTGGTAGCTTATTTTCCCCCGGGTGCCATTCTGCCTTGCAAGGGGATCTTTCCTCCTTGAAGGAAATCCCACATCTCTCCTTTCTCTGCCTGCTTTTAGCACCCCTGCAACATCACCCCAGCAGCATCATCCCTGCAACATCCAGAGAGCAGGTCTCACCTCCTTGGTGCATGGATCCTATCCCATCTTACATATCTCCATCCTGACTCTCCCTTTGGGGAAAATAGGCTCATTTTGGGGGATGAACTGGGACCAGGCAGGTCCTGGTGCATTAAGCTGGGCTCTGAACGGTGAATACAGATCTTTCCTACCCTTGTCTCGTCACCGGCTCATAATGAAGCATCCGGCTCACATAATCTGATTTGGTGGTAGTGCTCATCTTGTTAGTGTGCACCACACACTGGTTTTAATAAAGTTAATGAACCTCGCTATAGGAAGCTTTACTAATTCCCACTTGAAAAATCACTGTGAAAGGGCCAGAATTTGAGGGGGGGTGTGTGTGTGTGTGACTCCTTCTGACTTATGCAGGGCTTAAACCTTGGGAAATGTGGCTGTGCCCCATCCACAGGCAGGCGCAGAGCCCGGGATATTGCGTGGCAGGAGGTGGGATGCCCCAATTGCTGCAGGACGAACCAAAGGCAGAGTGTATGACTTCTGAAAAACGAGAGGGATATAAGCAGTTGCTCGAATTTTTTAAGAATGTCAGTATCTTAAAGACAGAGCAGGGCATCTCACTGTATTAAAACAGGAATCAGGATGAGTCCCTTCATGCTGTAGAGTCACTAGGCTTCAAAGCCAACCTGTTGCAATACCAGCTGGGTTCATGCACTCCAGAGGCTCCACAGCTCCAGCACTGCAGAGGTTGGGGGATTTTTTTTTTTGCCCTTTGCTAGACATCTCCATCCCCACATCAACACAGGGTCTCAGGTTTGAGCTCTGTGGGTAAGAACAACTCCACAGTCTGAGTTCTGGGTGTGGGATCAGCCCCAGCTCCTGCATCCCCTGTAGCAGATTTGTAAGATCAACCAGTTCCTTAATATCATGTGAATCATATTGGGTCAGAACAAACCCAGCTTGATTAAGATAAAAACTTGATGAGGAAAACCCACTTTGCGCTAATTATTCTGGTTTTGAAAACTGCCATTAATGTGAGATAATTAATAGTTAATAAGCAGAATATATTTAATGAATCTTTTTTCTATCTTTAGCTTGCTTTAGACTATGTTGCATTTAGTCCATTAAACAATTTTAATTAGCAAATTTTCCTTTTATTTTTATGGGGAATAGGGATGTGGAGTTATCAGAGGGGACCAATGTGCAACATCTTTTCTACTTTGCCTTAATAACATGTTGCCTGTTTTCCAAGCCAGTGTGCATAAAAGCGGTTCTTTGCTCTGCCCAACAGATAACAGAAGTTTCAAAATTAAGACCTCCAGGACTGTGTTGAGAAATAAAGCGTCTCCAAGGAAATGGCAAACATCACAGACACGATGACTGATGCTGCTGGGGACCCAACCAATGGAGGGTCTGTCCTCCCCAGTTAAACCCATTTCGTATTTCATATATATGAAATATTTGCCACGTTATCTGTGCTTTCTAACAAGTGCATTATGTAGAAGGGAACATCTTTGCAGCTGGAAGATTATCTTCAAATCATGTGCAATATAATGAGACTGAACAAAGCCAGGAAAAAGGAGGAGGAAAGGTGGAAATAATCTGGAAATTATTTCAGTCTTCTTTCTTTATTAAAAAAATAAAACCAACCTCTTGAAAGATTAAGCAACCAGAAAGGAAACATTAAGCAGAGTTGCTAATAAGAAGTCCAAGTGTTTTGCTTGGGATGGGAGGGAGATGGGGGAAATTGAGTTGCTCTTACTGTTCCCTGTCGAAGGCCACGGGCAGTTTCTAGTGCTGGGACATGAATAATTTCTGTTCCATTTTTCTGACTTTCATGTAAATACTCTTTATAAGTAGGTATGTGCCGTACCAAAGGCTGTGATTTATTTTAAGTCCTTATTAAGAAAGTAACATCGCCGCCGATACTGAGGAAAATGGTGTCAAACAGTCAACAAGTTGTGCCTTGCTTTCAGGATCACTCCATGAAAAGCTGCGGAAAAATAAAATTTCCAGGGATGGAAAAGGTATGAAAAACCCAATCCTGGCTGATCACGCCCCGCTTCATTTCACAAGCACTCGTGTGACCTTCTCTGCTGTTCCACAGTACTTCAGTCCCGAGGGAATATTATAGTATTGTCTTGCTAATACTATAATAAATGGGAAGTCTGTCACTCCTTTGCCCGTTCCTGTTTAATTTCGCACACTGAGGGGTTTCTTTGTGGCAGGTTGAGAGCCGTGGGTTGCCCATGCAGGGCTGTGAAGCTGTTAAAACTGGGGTTTCTATAACTTCACTGCATTTCCTAGGACCGTATGGGTAAATATTATCCCAGTGCAATGGGATAAATGGTCTGCAAAGGCATAAATTTCAAATGGCAAAAGGAGTTGATGGTCTCTCCTGCTTCTGGCTTCCCCCTCTAGCCCCAGCCTCATCCACCTCTGCACGCTGCCTCCATCCCAGCTTTGAGACTAAAACCCACCCAGCACATACTCCGTTGGAGGAGCAAAGTGATACTCTCAACAGTATTGGATTTCTGGGCAAAAATAATGTCAGTGGGGCTCAGGCGAGCTCAGGAACCCCTGCGTCTGCATTGCAATAATTCACCAGGGGTGGTTCGGGGAATATTAATTTAGACTGGACCAAAGTGAGCTGGAGCTTGCTCCAAAGCAGAGGATGCTCAAGGGGAAGTAACGGAAGACAAAATCATTAGGCATGTGCAGCAGACTCCTGAATTCATGTCGCTGATTGCTTTGGGGCCACGTCCAAGGACAAGCCTTGAGGTCCCCAGCGGGTACCTGGAAAGTGGAGCAAGGACCACTCTGCCTGGAGGGCAGCACCAAACCCTGGATCCTTCACGGAGTGGAGCTATTTACCTGCATTTCAAACCAGATCCTGGGCAGGAGGTGGGGAAAATCCACAGGCGACACATGTGGGATGCTTCGAGGCGCAACCCAAGTGAGGTTGCACTTAAAAATAAACACCCTACTTGGAAGAAAGGCTCTGAAATGGGAAAACTTGGGGGAATATTTGTGGCAAAGCAACTGGCTGTCTGCTGTCCTTGCAGCAGAGCTTTGAAGGCAAATGAAACCCAGGTGGCTTTCTGAGCTGTCGTTCGGGGCTGGGATCACTCCAGACCTGTCTGTAGTTCAGCAGAATCCATCCTCCTTTCTGGCTGCCTAAGCCCCACACGCAAACTTCAACTGAAATTAGGATTGAGAAATTCCCTTAATGGTGGGGAAATGATGTGGTTCTTAAAGGAATGCGTCGGCTTTGGTGAGGTCACATTTATTTTGTTTGATAATTTCTTGGCTTGAATTCCTCCTCCTGTCATGGCATATGCTTCATTGGTGATGGAGACCTTGTTCATGGGAGCAGGGCTTGGGGGTCCCAAGGGTAGAAGTCACAGGGGCTCTGCATTGGTGTAGACTGGGGAGAATGGGCTGAGATGGCAAAAAAATAAACAAAAGTGAAAAAAACAACAGTTTTAGTCAAAGCTGCCTTGCTCGCCTTGTGGAATGAAGAGTAAATATGGATCTGGCCCTTAGTGGGTCATTGCTCCTTGGGCTTGTTTGCATTTATTCCCAGCATGGTAGAAACCCCATGGCCACTGGAGCTGTGGATAAATGAAAAGGGCTGGTGCTGCTGGTGCCTGGTTTTATGACGGCTTTTGCAGCATGAGGGGCTGAGGGAGGTGGGTTGGGGACCAGGACTACTGGGAGAGCCCAAGGAGCTGGTCCCCAAGCCCACGGGGATGAGCTGGGGGTGCCAAGGCTTGTCAGAGGGATGCCGTGGAATCATGGAGGTGAAGCACCCAGCAGTGTGAAATCAATCCAGTGTGAAAGCTGTCTGTGCAAATTAAAGCTAATTGGAGCAGTGGCTTTCATTAACTTTGTGTTTGGCCATGCTCTGCCCTGAGGCCAGCCCGTGGGTGATGGGGAGAGGGAGCTCCTCCACGGGATCCTCCAGCAAATTGCTCTGCTGGCAAATCCCTGGGGATGTGGCAGTAACCGTGGCACTGCCACAGCCAGAGCCAGTCTGAGGATGGGCTTGCAGGGCTTTTTGCATCGTGGCCAGCTGTGTCTTAATGTGGCACAGCCAAAACCCACCTCCCAGGCATCCATCCCCTGTCTCGTGCAGAGGGGAGCTGTGTCCCCCCCAGGCTGTCTCATCCTGCAGCTCCCCAGCACCAAAATTAATTAATGCTCAGACCATAAAAAGTCTGAGACCTTAAAAAGACCTTAAGAAGACCCCTTAAAAAAGATTATTAAAAGTCGCAGGTGCTTGGGGAGCGAGGGCTGAGCCTCTTCCCAGGACTGGGACCCCCAAATCACCGAGCAGCGGTCTCTTTCCCATTGCCATGGGTGGAGCTGCCAGCAGGCTGGGGGAGATGGGGCTGGGCTTCTTTGGGAGATCTTACCTCCAAACCCACTAAGGAGCTGTGAAAGATATAGCCTCATGCGTTCATAGTGTGCTTTTCTACCATGCTGATGGTTTTGGGCAAAGCACCCACTAAAGGTCCGATCCAGCATCCCTGGAGTAATGGCACATTAACAGGACAATTGATTTTCTGGATGGCAACACAGACCTGAATCTTGGGAAGCCCTGGTCCCAAAGGTGTTAAATTTAGTTTCTTTTGGAACATGATCTAGTAGCCCTTAAAATGGGGGATAGAATGTATCAGTACTAAAGTTATTTTTATTTTTCACCGGTGTTACGGAGAGCTTTTTTATGGCATGTGTGTATGTAACATAATTATACCTCGTCTGTTTTCAATAGCCACTTTGTTAAAGCGTCTCTGTTACGGTTCAAAGTGCGTATTTTGACAAGCAAAGTGATGGGAAAACCCAGATCCCCTCACCAGTTGGGGTTAGTGGGTCCCAGTGGCCCCACTCCCAGCAGCAGAAATGCCCCATGCCCAGAGCAGAGCTCAGCCCGTGGCCACCGGCCGCTCCGCTCCCCCCAGCCAGCACTGGACCCACCCCACGGCCATCTCACCCCGATGACAATCTTGCCAAATTTCAACCTCTTCTTGATATTGTACATACTGGCGTTGATGACGTTGCTCCATGCTGTTGGGTTTCTTTTGCTTGGTCGCTGAGCCAGCTAACTGTTAATGTGCTCTTTAAAAATAATCGAGAGTTTGATAGTCTTTAACTGTCAGTCTGGTATATTAATCTGTGTTGCCACGACTCTGACTGTAGCCTTGTGCGTTTTAAAGATAACCATCGTATCAGGACAGCCGTGTTGAAATGTCATTTGGAGCGGAAGGCTGGGTTTGGCAAGGGAAGACAAATTAAAAATGTATCCAGTCAATTAAAAAAAAAAAAAACAAAACACCACCAACAAAAAAACAACAAAAACCAAAAAAGGAGTGATTTAATGATGGCTGACATCAAGAGAGGATCCAAAAAATAGCATGCATTGATTCCCATAATCATCCGAACGCAGGCTGCTCATCTTTATTCATAGCCCTTCAAAGCCACGCTCGGAGATGCTGAGAGCATCTCTGAGATGCCGCGCGCTAGACGTGCTCTTTAGACGCTGAACACGTAGGCATTTCTCCTCTGCTCCCAGCACAGCTGCTGCCTCCAGCAAACGCTGTACACCATTCCTTCCCCCTTTTCATTTTAGGGTGCAATTAAAGTGATGAGAGCTCTGCTGTTGGGTCCATCCTGGTGGATAGGTAGGAAAATCAGATTGAGGGAGCTGGGCTGGTACAGGGTCAAGTGCAGCCACTTGTTTTAAGGTGTTTTAAGAAGGCAGCAAATAGAAAGCAAAATGTCTCAAAAAGTGTTTAAGGGCACTAACGAAAGCTCAGTGGACACAGCACGTGGGATGGGGCTTAGCGGCATGGCTGGAGGAGGCTTTCAGAGACAGCGTATGAGATACTGTGAGGCTGCTTTGCTTGCCCTGCTAGATTTGGGGGAAAAGTCAGGATTCCTGTGGTCCCATCCTGGCCTCTGTCCTCTTTCCACAGGTGCAGGCAAAAACCCTGCAATATTAACATCTCAGAAACCAGCCTTTGAGCACTCGGAGGCTTTAATTAATGTACACACTTGGATGTTCTCTGAGACAGATGTTCAAATGCTGTTATTGCTACTGGATCCTTTTAAAATGAAGAAATTTGTGGGACAGCGCTTTTCTCCCCTAAAAAGCTTTGGGAGCCGTCATGTTCCCAGTACTCTTGCTTTTTCTTCCATTGCACTGAGTCAGCTAGGAAGTTGTCCCCCTAAACTGAGATTAAAGGCAAGTAGCAGCCCTGGGTGAATTAAATTACACATAATCCCTATATTTTTCATCCTCCAGTCTCTGATACAGGTGAATTATGTTTCTTTTTCACATTTTTTTTCTGCTTTCTCCAAAATGACATCATCAGTGCATCTTTAAAGGGAATGATCTGAGATACCTCTGTCACCGACTGGTGTTTTCCATAACACATCATCTCTCTGACCATTGCAAGGCCAGGCTGATGCTGTGTTTTAAATGCATCACTCCTATTCCTGAGGATGGTTTTGGAGCAGGGCAATTTATCTGGCGATTCACAAGTCATTGATAGAGCTGGACTTGCAAGTCAAATGGTATTCAGGGGAAATGTAGCCAGGAAATTGTAAACCAGTGCCTGAAATAGGGCAGTTTTAATGAAAAACGATGTGTTTGCTGCCATGTCTTTTTCGCTGCCATTAGTATATTGGAAACGGGACTTGGTTATTCAAATTGTTCGGGTCTTGCAGGAAAATCGCCTTCACTGCTGAAGGTCAGCTATTCCCACAGCTGAATTTAGCATCTTTCAAGGAGAATGGACTCTTAATGCATCACCTGAGGTCCCAAAAGATTGCAAATGGGGGATGTTTCATCAACCATCAACCTCCAACACAGGAGCAGCTCATGTTTCTTAATTTTACATCATTTTCTATGCAACTTACTTTTACGGTCTCTTCCTGGGACTGAGATGGCTGGATATAGTTTTGACTTTGCTTTCCCTCATTCGCATTCCCATCTGGGTAATGCTGAAATGTTTCCATGACTGTCTCAACTGGAACACACATTGGGTATATTTGAAAAGTGAAATATTGCCTTGTGGAATTCAGTGCATCAGACTGAAAAACTAAATCCTGACTAATTAGGTGCCACAGAAATGATGCAATTTTGGACTGGAGATGTAAAGCGCAGTCTTGTTACTCTGAGTTCGTTTCAAACTCTGGTTTTGCCAGTGAACTGTGTTGCAATTGTTTCAACTTGTTCTTTTGATACCAGTCTGATGCTAAAACAAGCCGCTGCGTCCCGTCACCCTGGTGACCTCCACCACGGTGTGGGCCTTGTGTTCAGTTACCAGTAAAAAAAGTGATTTTGGGGTTTTCTTTTGTTTGTTTGTTTGTTTTTTTGGTTGTGTGATTTTTTTACCTGACGTTGAATTTATTTTTTTAATGTTTTTTTCATTAGAACTTGAAACTGTTATTTCATATGCAAAGTTCAATAAAATGGCTGAAACACGCAGCGTGTGGTGGTTTGAAACTGAAATAGGGTGGAGGGGAGATGTTGGGGGTGCAAAGGATGGTGCAAGGATGAAGTTTGAGATGCATGCCCCTGGAAGAACTAATTTTTCAGGATGAAATTATCTGAAATTCAATGCCATTCTCAGGGTTAAAATTTGCTCCATTAGAGAAATAAAAACTAGGGGTAAAAGCTGCACATTTCCAGCATCCCAACCAGCCGTCTGGAGAGCTGCCCTCTCTTTATGGGCTGAAGAAGCTCCAGGCAAACCCTTGAAATTTTGATGATGTGTCACAAAAAAAGGATGTCACTGGCGATGCTTTGGCAAAGCAAATGGAAGCGGAGGTGCCTGCTCCGGCGCTGACCTGCGCGTCCTGATCGCGAGCGGGGATCTTGCGAAACGAGGTTCGAAGCTCATTTGAAAACCTCGCCCTTGGCTTCATACCACGTCTTTGAGCTTCACCCAAAAGCGAATGTGGCCAAATAATGTCAGAGCTTTCTTTAGGCTACTGGTTGTCTTAAAAATATTGAATAGTGAGAATGGAAAAAGAAGTTAGGAGTTTACAAGCCGTGTTTAATCGGCAGCAGCTGTGACCGGTTTCACTCCCACAACCCCCGAGGAGAGGATTTCCAAGAGCAGCTTAAAACTGGAGACTTTTCTGGTTCCTTCTGCTTTTCAGTCACCTGTTTCTGGTAGTTGCAGATTTAATTTAAAAAGCAGGGTGCACATTCCTGGTTTCGGGAAAAGAGCTGGAGACTGTGAAGTGAGCGGAGCCAGGGCTGAGATTTGGGATGAGCCACCTGAGCCTTGGGGAGCACAGGGAAGGCTGGATCTGAATCACTCAAAGGGGACCCCAAGGTGATAAATTATTAGAGATGGTGCTAAAATGGCTTGAAATGCAAATATAAGTGCTGCTGTGCTGTTTCCCATGGCCAGAGGGCCCAGGCTCCTGCAAGGAGGATTTTATTTTAGTAGTCAATGAGCCACGAGCATGGACTATTATCCCAAGTGACTTTGGTATTTTTGCAAATCCCATTCCTAGGACTGAAATCCAGGCAAAAATCCTCTAAGAGGCTTCAGGTGCTGAGTTGGGGGGCTCAGGGCTGGGAGCAGAGCAGTAGCCAAGCGTGCCTGCAGCCACCCTGGACAGGATCAATCCGGGGGAATTCATCAGTGATGGAGATCCTCTAATTCTTGAATTTTACAAAACATCTTTTTCGACCCTGTTGACCTTAAGAAGGCTGGTAGGGTCAAACAAGTTCCTAGAAAAGCAGTGTTGAGTGCTGGGACTGGTTTGTGTGGTTTCACCTCTCTTTGCTCTCCAAGTTTGCCGTGAGCATCAGGTCTGCTGGGGAGGATGAGCTGGGTGATGGGCAGATGAGCAAAATCTCTTTGCATCAGCTGCAGCGCAATTATTTCCAAATTGTCTCAGAGTGGCTGCACTGGATGGGACCAAACTAGGTGCTGGACAGTGTCAGATTTAAGGCTGGGAGGTGGGAGCCTCTCTGGTTCAGAGGTGCTCAGAGCCAGAGAAGTGGGTTTTAGCAGCTCTTGGTGCTTCTCTCTTTGCTGTGACCTTGATTTCTGTGTCAGCTCCCCCCTCAGGGTTGTGGTGCCTCCAGCTGCAGGTTTCGGTTGACGTGTGGTTAACTGGGGAGGTGCTTAAACACCCATGAATAACAGGATGTTGCAAAGTTTGAGATGCAGATGGTGGCACGAATGCCATCAGCCAAAACCAGCCAGGGAGGAAGGACGGGCGCAGGGGCTGTGTCTGGCATATGCCAGCTGGCTTTGCTTGAAGAGCAGCAGGAGACACCTTCCACGGCACCAGTGATGAGTGGAGGGCGATGTTCCCATACCCAAACCCATCACCAGGACACAGGGGTGAACCTCCATTTAAGGCACACCCCCAGACCTCCTGGATTTTGCAGGGTTTCCAACCCATACCTGGGGTGATAAATGCATGGAGAAGACATGGCACCACAGAGCTGCAGAGGGACGAGACGTGGTCAGTGCTGACAGTTCATCTCCCCCTGCCCCCCGAGTTGGATTTTATTTACCAACTTGTTGGCTTTTGGAGGGAGGAGCTCCGAGGAGCGCAGCGGCTGCGGGATGTAGGTCAGCCCGGGGGTGGCACGGTGCGACAACAGGATGGATGTCTCCTGCTTCATCTCTGGAGGTTATAAACAGCAATGAGGAAATGCCACCGTGGCAGCAGCACAGTGTTGGGTGTTTGGAACCCGGCACGGAGCAAGCACTGGTGCTGCCTGGGTTTGTGATGTATAAATTCATCTTAAAATAAGGGCCTGGAGGAGCCTGGCTGCTGCAGGGCTTCTTTCTGCTGTCTTTTTGGCTGATGTTTGGCTCACCCTCCTACCTGAGGGTGGGCATCCCCACGTGAGGACTGCATGGCTAGGGCAGGCTCCAGCAGCACGGCTCTGCACCCCGATGCGACGTGAATGTCCTGGTTTGGGCTGGAACAGAGTTAATGTTTCTTTTTATTAACTAGAATAGTGCCGTGTTTTGGATTCAGCACTGGGTTTGGTATGAGAAGAAACCACGACAGCGTGCAATAAATCCTTCGCTTGCTGCCTTGAAATTTGCTGCTTGGAAATTGCCCTGGGTGCCATTTCCTTCATGTGTTATGAAGAAATATTGATTAATCATTTCCTACTCACCATCTCACCACCATACAGGATTTTAATGACCTGTGTCGTATCCCTCTTTCCAAGCCAGAGCATCCAGCTCTTCCAACTGTGACTTTTCCAGGATGCTGCAGAGGGACTTTTCCAGCTCAGAGTCAGGCTCCTGCTGGGCATTTCCTCTCTCCCCAAGCCATGCCTAGCTCAGGAGGTTTCGTATCAGATACTTCACTTTTTATTTTTCAAACAAATGTTGGTACCTGAAAGGATCTTCCTTTCTATTCCAACCAGTGAGGCACGACAGCTTTCTGCAAGGGTTGTTGGCCATCCCTTTGCTGTCATATTTACCCATGGGATGGCTAAGGTTATTGTTTCCCCCATGGGAATTTTCTTTACTTAACACCACTGGGTCCTGGCCATGTGCTACTACTCATTTTATTGATATATTCTTGAATTTCTTCTACCAGGGCTTCAGTTTTATGACCTCACCATGCTCATCTGCAGCACTGATACTGAGGATTTAGGCAGCGTTTCTGTGCTGTCTGTGTTTGTGAAGGGTGGAAGCAGACCTCACCTCCTGCTCTTCTAGGTAGACGTTAGTGCGTGAGTTGTCTCTTGATTTATCCATCAACATGAGTGAGATGTGCACCGTTGAGCATAGGTGGCACAAAGGTACCTATAAATGAACAGCTTTTTGGGGGTGGCAAATGCTTGGCTTTGTAAAGCGGGGAATGACAGAGGGGACCGTGGTCTCCTTGTATGTCCCAGGTGGTGGCCGCCACCACGTGTGACTTTCTTGGCCCCATTTGGGCGACCTGCATTCAAACCAGTATGGGCCCGAAGAGGAACTGGTGTGCACAGAGCTCCTGAGCATCACATCAGGGCTACCTGGCTCTGCCTGGGGCTCTGTCCCCTCTGCGACTGCAGGAAAGGAAATGTTCCCCTGCCTTCACGGGGTTGTGGAACCACAGAGGATGCTGCAAGGACGGCTTTTCCCAGGGACCCAGATTGTGGCGTGCTTGGGATTTTGGATGCTCCCGAGATCTTCCTGCAGAACAGAAGCATTTCCCTTACACCCCAGCATTTCCACACCCCCAGGGGGATTAAACACAAATTAAGGATCTGGACCATGGACCTGAGCAGGGACTGGAGGTGCTCTTGCCCCTGCCGAGTCACCAGCCATGCGGGTGGTGCCGCAGATCCCATGGGTGCTGCTCAGCGGCAGCCCCGGTGGGTGCTGCTCGTCTGGGAAACCGTGAGCTGAGAGTGAAGGGTGGGGAGGGGGAGAAGGGGAAGCCGGGGCTAAAAATAGCTGTTTTTGAACGAAACGGATGAAAATGTCTTTGAAGAAGTGAGGGGAGAAGGGGAGGGTTTCCATGGAAACGGGGAAGTCTGTCTCTTCCCAAAAGAGGGGGTGGGAGATGAAGAAATAGTAAATATGGCAGAGAAATGACGGGGAAGAGGGTGCTGTGAGTCAGTGGTGTTCCCCATGGGTTGAGGGGAGGGGGCTCTGGGGTCTGTGCCTGCCTGGATGCTGAGGGGAGCAGATGGGGCTCTGACACTGCCTGCCCGTGTAGCCTTGGGCATGTCACCTCATGTCCTCCCCTGTGTCACCTGCAGCCCTGTGGCTGTCACCTGCCCAAGTCACCAGTAAAAAATACGAGCACAGAGCTCCTGGGGACACAATTGCAGGGCTGGGTCAGTGTCACCGTGATGGGGCATCTCCAGTCGCTCCCGGCAGCTGGGCGGCAGCGATAAAATAATGAATTTCCTCCAAACCATTTGAGGAAGTGCACAAAATCTTGGGGTTTTTTTCCTGTAGAAATTTTCCACCGTGGCATGGCCGTTTCAAGGAGACACCCTGCAGGGACTGGAGCCGCACTGTGCAGCAGGGACACGGGGGGTTTGGCTGGATGGTGGGGGCAAGGCGGGGGCTTATGGTGAGGTCGGGGACCAAGCCAGAGCGGTCTGGCATGGCATGCAACTGGGCACGGCTTCCAGTCTGGCACAAGCCACGATTTGGCACAGCTCATGACCTGGTGTGGCCCACAGTTTGGCACAGCTTATGATTTGGCACGGCTCACAGTCTGGCACGGCCGTGGGGCTGGCATGCCCCATAACTTGGCCCAGCCCAGGCTTTGGCCCCGTGGGCTCAGCAGTGCTTCGTGCCGTGCCACGCAGTGCCATCTCCTGGCTGAAGCTGCCGCGGTGACACCGTGCCCACAGTGACACCGTGCCCACAGTGACATTGTGCCCGCAGTGCCACCGTGCCCGGGCTGCCAGCCCAAGCCGTGGGGAAGGTGCTCCCCAGCCCGAGCATCCCCACCGGCTGCGTGTCCCCCCTGCAGCATCTCCACCTG